AAAATCAGCTCTGCCAGACCCGATACATTTCCATATTTAAGAATTAAATTTTTAATACACTCTTTTTGTCCTGAGACTATCTAGCACTTACATTTCTAAGACACTGTGAACTAAGAGCTACCTTCCCTGAATCTGAATCTTTGACAACATTAATTGTTTCCTTAAGGATACTTCTAGGTAGATTTTGCTAGATATCTGTAATGGTTTGAAAGCAAACCAATGAGACACTCCAAGTCAGAAATACAATCTAATAGGAAAAAATAAAAGAAATGCAAAAGTACAAAGAAAAACCACAGACAGAGTCAGAATACAACCTGACACTCTGTTGGTTAGGGTGGTGGTAGCAGCCCAGATGAAGCAGTGATCTCATAGAAAAGATGTGGTAACTCTTGTCCTCTGGAAATCCAGTGGGTAAGGGCCTCCTGTGGTGTCCTGAGCCCCAGTTTATATCCAGGTGCGAGCACCTGGCTCCTCCCCCTGGGCAGAGCATCTCACAATGGGTTGATGTCAGTCTATGAGTCATGGGGCAAGGCATGGATCGGCCCATTAACAGGGAGGACTCCTCCAGCTGGGTGGGAAGGTACTAACATCTCCCCAGACCTCTTTCCTTATCTGTTGTAGCCTGGGGTGTGAGGTCTGTCCTGGGCAGCTGCTATCAATGATTTTGTTAACAGCCCATGAGCAATGACATAGAGAGTATAGAATACACAGTTCTCGGTTCCACCCACATAATGATAAACTGGTCCCAGCCCCTGTAACCATGACAATATCACATAATATAGTTAGACTTCTCAATAGTATCCATTCTAGTGTGAAATCAAAAGCCCCTTTTACCAGCCTTATTGATTAAGGAGGTTACACTTTGCTTGGAAGATGTGATTTTGTTGCAATGTCATGTTTCTATTGACATTTTGGATAAAGCATGTGGGGAGGAGTTCTAGCACACCTGCCTTTCTGTTAAAGAGAGAGTGCCTTGTTCTACTGGGGGCTTAAATTCAATTATTTACAAATATGTTCTGTATTTGGTGTGTACACCTTTATGTCAAAAGATTTACTTTTTAATTAGTTGAAGTGCTACTTTTTACTTCATAAAATTGAAGATGGTATTACCTTAAAAAAAATAATTCTGTGACTATACTTTCTAGAAGCATGGCAATAATTAGGTGCCTGTCTGAACAACTTTAGACATACTTTGCAGTTTAAACTTGTGACTATTTCTTAGCTTTTAAAGAAGGCTCTGCAGTTTTGTATATTGGAAAAAAAAATCATAAATATCTACCAAAGTACGTTGTATTTTCATATTACAGATGATTCACCTCCTGCAGAACGGGAACCAGGTGAAGTTGTGGACAGCCTGGTAGGCAAACAAGTGGAATATGCCAAAGAAGATGGCTCAAAAAGGACTGGCATGGTCATTCATCAAGTTGAAGCCAAACCATCTGTCTATTTCATCAAGTTTGATGATGATTTCCATATTTATGTCTACGATTTGGTGAAGACATCCTAGACATCATCATGAACTTCTGCCAAATTTATGGAACTATTAAACATAAAATTTGTAGACACAAAGACTTGACTGTTTTTCAGTTAAACGAAAGCTTAAATGTCCCAGTGAACCCACAGTCTCTGCCAGCAAAACTGGTTTGTTCTGAATAATACAAATTTATGTGAACATGACACATTTTGCATAAGAGAACTTTTCTTGAAGGAAGTCAATGTATTTGAGTGGGAGGGAGTAAAAAGCAAAGAACAGCTGAAAATTCAAGCTGTGTGAAGTGAATCTAGTATTGTAATCTAGATTTTTTTCATAGATTTTAACTTTTTCTTCAACCTTGCACTCACCTATTCAACTGCCACATGCAAGTGTAGTTGGAGGTTTTCAATATGCCTTCTTTTGTAACATTAAATTTAATTTCTTGGCTACCGTCAGTCCTTGTTTTCTGGGTTGGGACAGAGGTGACCCTTCTGAAAGGTTTAAACAGTTTGTGCAGCAGTTAGGAGTGCCTAACCCAAGTAACATCAATATACTATTTCTACACTTTATTTCAAATTAAACTTTTTGAGAACTTGCAGGACATGGAAATACTTGTGCATTTTTACTAGTCAAAGGGCAGAAGAATATCAAGTGTTTGACTTGCACACCTTTCAGTGAAAAGGCTTTAAAATATAAAAATATATTTAATCAGTATAACCACTTAATCAGAAAATGGAGGTTAAAGGCCTGTGTTTACAAGTTGTAGGAACCAGTAAAACACACACAACAAAGCTGCCTTTAATCCTAAATGTTGTACTCTGTTACACACATTTCTTAGCAGAACCCAAGTGCTTGGTGCCACAGGTTTAACAGTATATATGCTACTTGAGAAGACTTTAGATACGCATTGGCAATCAGTAGTCTCTCATTTAATATCAGAACCTAGCAACCTGGATGTTTGTGTGTGGACTTAGAAACCTACTGCTAGTTAATCTTTTACATGGTAAATACATTCTTATAGGGGTGGGGGTCCTTTTAAACTGAAGACCTCCTTTAGAGGAAGAGAAGCATTTATAAACTTCTGCTCAGTCTGCTGTATTCCTTTGCTTTGTTTTGTTTTGGGTTTTACTATTGGTTTTAACCATTTTGGTTCAAGAAGGCATCTTCTCAATGTATTCTTTTTCTGGCTTTTCAAAGTAAGGACTGTCCAGACAAATCTACAATCTGTTTTTGCTTTTTGTGGTGTACTTACTTTGAGGTATGCTGTTAACATGAATTTCATTCTATGAGCGATAAGAGTTCTGCATGCCAGTGGTGTATTATCTAATGGGAGCTATAGACAGTCTCAGTGGTTAAGTCATCTGCATTAGACTCTGGATGTAAATAGCAGCCCACAAAAGCAGAATCTTTTCAGTTTTAATCTTGCAAGATAGTTGTAAATCAAGGTTAAGAGTATTTGTTGTTTTTTAAGCATAGCAACTTTTAAAAGCATCAGAATTATAACAAGGATCAGCACAGCAACAAAATTATCATGTTAAAGCAGAACTCTACAAGCTTCAAAGCGCTGCTTCACAGAAATAGCATGAAGAACATGAATACAGTCAACTATTGGTGGAAAGGAATACATAGGTATCCAACCTTATGCTGTTAGTGGAAGGATGCAGGAGAGGTGCTGTTATTCAGAGATCAGAGGTCTGACCTCTATTGTGAGTATACTTGGTATCAAAGACTCAGTGGTTTAAGTCCCTTTCTGTCCAAGTTTTTGGCCTGATTTTGTATTTGAGCCTTAAGGCTTGTGCCTCATTATGCTGTTAAATGGTAATACTGTATAAATATGGTACCTTAATTCTTTGTCCCTTGTTACTATATTGCATTATGTCCTGTATTTTATCATGGGCAACCAAAGGCAGGATATTGTCTTTCATTTCACAGCTTCTCAGTCCAGTCTTTAAGTACTAAATACCTGAGTCAGTAAGTTTTCATTGTGTTTTGAACAAAATGAACAGATTTGCAACACAGTGCTTTCATCCTGCAGATCTGTTATGTGCTTTCTATTGACTCTTAAGAGTCCTGCATGTAAATCTTGAAGCTGAGCCTGGCTCCATGAGTCCAAGTTGATATTTGTGGCACAAGAATGAGTGTATTGATTACACACAAAATACATTAATAACTTAGTACAATGAATTTTGGGATTTACATCTAAGAAATAGAAGTTTTGGTTTGAAATATTTGAGGTTTAAGTGTACTGGAACATTTTTAGCATTAGGCTTGCATTTTTGGGTTTTATGCAAGCCACTCTAATATACCACATATTTTGCTAATTAGAATATAATCAATACGGTATCAAATATGTTTGGTTTTAGATGCCCCTGTTGTCTGTTGCATGTTTTTTTTTTCTCTTGTAATCTCTTTTATTAAGATGAGGGGGATTGGGGGGAGGGGTATGGTTGGTTTTGTTGGGGTTTTTTTGTTTGTTTTTTTTTTTTAATAGCTTAAACCACCTTTTGGAGATGTGAGACTAATTCTACTCCCTGCCATCTGCTCTGGGCTTTATTTTAGGCTCATGTTTCAAATCTCCATGCAGTGCTTGCATTACCCTAGCAACTACACATCAGTCCTTTGTTCTAGGGGTTCAACATTCCAAATTTATCATAGGTCTTGTGATAGCACAAGCCATGGATCTTTGTATAAAAGTTATTTGCGCCTCTCATTTACCTGCTGTAGTATTGTAGTATTGTTGTATATTGTGTGTGCATGATGTCAAGCTGCCATGTAAAGCTTTTGAAAAGGAAAAAAAAAAGGCAAAATGAAACTTTAAATGCAGACCATCCTTTTTTGCATGCTTAACAGGTTAGAACGTTCAATGTAACAAACTAAAATTGCATGTTATAATGTTTAGGTTTGCGTTTTGTTCTGGTTTTATTTTGTGTTCAGATTTTTGTGAATTTACTTATTGTGCTGTTTGAATGGTTGTTAGTAGGATCAAATGCGCTGGTGAGGCAAGCATAGTGCCAACAGAAGGGAATTTTCCAGTTGTATGTGTCACAAAGCATTTGAAGGGACCATGTATTCTGTTAAAGATTAAATAAAATCACACTGAATAAATAAAACACTTTTTTTTCCTTTTGAGTGCCAAACCCTAAACTAAGTTGGACTACATAGAGACTGAAATACTTTGGGGAAAATCCTATTACACAGATATAAGCCTTCTTTAAAGGAATTAATTTTAAATGGAGGCTTTATCTTCAGAAAGAATAAATTACAGCTGCTTCAGGGAAAAAATTATTGTAAAAGCAGTTTCTGGTTCCTTGAAAATGCTGTCCTTTTTGTATTTTACATCATTAGTGCAATTTGGATGGTTCTTGGTATGTATGTACTTCAAAGGTCTTAGTGTTCACATTTTAAAATTAGGTAATGACTTCATCTTTAGAGCTCAGTTTCATTATTTTTACTTTATTTCTCTGCATTTAGAAGTATGAACACCAAAACTGTTACTTAATTCTGTAATTTTTATAATTATGATGTAACTCTATCCTTAAAACATTTAAAATAAATGATTTATGTGCAACTCATGACTTTAAATTTTATTCTCATGAGCAAAATGTAGTGATGTGACTCCAGATTGTAAAGCAACAGTTTCTTCAGTATTTTAATTAAGAGGTCTTAGTATTTCAAAGTTGAGACATGTATGCTGGTATAATACTTTTCCTTATGAAATAAGTTTTCTTGATAAGTCATCTTTTTTTGCCAAGTAAGTATGAATGTCAATAAGATGGAATTTTACTGAGGTAAAGCATAAGGCTTAAATTGTATTTCATCAAAAAGCAGAAAAATTCCTCCTCAGGGGTCTTTGCAAGTCTGTGAGAGGGAGCCTCTTATTTCCAGAACACGCTATAGTTCACATTGTTAGCAGTAGTTCAGCAGCAGGGAACAGTAAAAGTCTTTAGCTGATAAGATTTACCTGTTTTGAATTCATGTGCTTAACTAAAATTTGAATTTTCTTTTAATATAGTGAGTAAAATAAGTTTAATTTATCCAAACCTAGAGGTGATGAACAGTGAAGAAGCTAATACCCCAACGCTGTGAATTTCCTTAAGATGCATAAGTTCTCCATACTAATACACAAACACTTTATTGTATGTAATTAAAGGTAAATTACCAAGCCCGACTTAGAATATTGAAATTATTATATTTTTCCTTATTCCTCCCTTTTCCCTCATTATAGAGGGGAAAATCTTATACAGATACATCAGAAAATATTCTTGTCACCAAGTTACCAACACTCCTGGACAGGTGGAAGGAGTGCGCCATTGGCAAGTTCACAAATAGTGCAAATCTGGGAGGAGCAGCTGATACACCCAGAGGGTCATGCTGCTATCCAGAAAGGCCTCAATAGGCTGAAAAAAATGGGCTGACAAGAGCCTTGTGTGGTTCACCAAGGGGAAGTGCAAAGTCCTGCACCACTGGAGGAGCAACCCAGTGCACCAGTACTTAATAGGGGCTAACCAATCAGAAAGCAGCTTTGCAGAAAAGGACTGAGGAGGTTTCTGTGTGTGTGTAGTATCCTGGTGGACATCAAGCTGAACATTAGCCAGCAATGTGCCCTTGTGGCAAAGAAAGTTAATGCCATTCTAAGCTACATTAGGTTATTGTTGCCAGACAGCTGAGGGAGGTGATCCTTCCCATTTATTCAGCACTAGTGATGCTCTATCTGAAGTAGCATGTCCAGTTCTAGGCTCCCCACTACAAGAGAGACAGGGACATACTGGAGAGAGTCTAGCAAAGGCCCACAAAGATAATTAAAGTACTGGAGTCTATGATGAGAGGCTGATGGGGACTAATAGTTTCATTTGGGGATTCTTGTCAGAAGGACAACAACACTAAGCTGTAGGATCAAAGCTTTTTTTAACAGCATTTTACAATCAGCATAGAATCTTATGATCAGAGTAGCACAGGATTTTTAATAAGCAGAATCAGTGTAGCACAAATTTATAAAGTAGCATAACACAATTTTATAG